CTTCCGATCAGCCGCCTTTCCCCACCCAGCAGCTGAGAGAAAGCTGGGGCCATCCGATTCCAACCAACGACCGACCGGAGGGCTACGGATCCCCCTCCCTCCCCCTCCATGCACTTGCAAAGCTCAGGTCAGGACACCTCACCTACCAACACATTTCCTAGCCCTGAGCAAGAGATTACAGCCTTGGTCAAAATCTCGGAGCGGGTGAAAGGGGTACCCTCAGGGCCGGCTCGAGGTGTTTCTGCGCCCTAGGCGAGGCTGCCTTGTGGTGCAGATGCCAACCTCCCGGTGGGGCCTGGAGACCTCTGGAGGCAGCCACCCTTTTGCTACCGCTACCGCCGCCACCGCCTCCCCCCCCTGCAGCTTTCAGACCCAGCGAGCACGCCCCCCAAGATGGAAGAGAGTTTTCTCTCGTGCTCCGCTTCCGAAGGCAGTTTGTGAGGGAGGTGGGGGGGGGGTCCTGTCTCCAGGCGGGGGATGCTCACCGGATGCCTCTCCCCAATTAGCCAAGTGCTGACACTTGGAGAGCTGCTTGCGGGCTTTTGGCGGCAGGGGGGAGGCACAGCTCGGCACCCCATCCAGGGCCCAGCACTCTAGGCGAATGCCTAGTCCGCCTAGTGGGTGAGCCGGCCCAGGGTACCCTTGGGTATGGGACTGCAGGGACCTGGGGTCATCTGATGGGTGTGGTGGTTGTGGAGCTGTTTAGTCTCATCCCCCCCCCCAGTGCAGAAGGGCTGGGGGATGGTGCCGTCTGGCACCGAAGGCTCACCCAAGGTGCTCTTTTTTGGGGGGGGGGGAATAAAAACCTGAGGAGGAGGCACATAGGGGCTGGCCACACGGGCAGAGCCAGGCCCTGCAGGCAGGTGTGCTACAGAGGTCAGTGGCCTTGGAGGTTGAAGCCTTGCTTGTGGGGACTGGGGGTGGGGCTCTCAGCATCTACTGAATCCCGGCTTTGCAGCCCCCCCCCCACCGCCCAGGGCTTGCCAGGGACAACAGAGAGGTCTCCGGAAACACCGAGAAAGGCCAGCGGAGCTCCGTGGCTGCAGCCTCTCCCCATCTGGAGGACGCAAAGAGCTGGCGCTGAGTCTCTCCCCCCCCCCCCCAAATTGCAAAACTTTCATTTTAATTGGA